AGGAAATTTAGGCTTACGTGTTGGAAATTTAAAAAACAAAAACCAGTGGCAGACAGCGCTGTAAACAACGGTAGCCTGGTGGGTAATAAGCAAGCGAATAACGCAGAAAACAGACTTTTTTTATGGGAATCTATTCCTGAGAGAGAGAGACGGAGAGCTCTGCATGACGTGTGATTTTTATCGTGGTGGAGTTAAAACAGCAAAAGTAAGAGGGAATTTAAGGTGTTTATTTAATGTTTATGTGAAGCGAAACGTGAAGCTAGTTTGGATCTTCTTTTGCTGCTGGTTCAGTCAATGTTGTTTGAAGATAGATCAAACCTGCAGCTTCAGAATCTAGCGCAAAAAAGACAAACACAAAGAGCGGAGCCGCCGAAGTGTGAAAATGTTTCACTCAGTACAGTGCGCTCCAGCTGTGAGGCTCCAGCTGCTGTTATGCAGCTGATGAATTGGTAATTGTGCACTAACTGGTCCTGGTATTCTCCTAACCCCAAAGCTGTTGCTGCTGAGAAAAATGTAATTTACACAGCTGGAGAAGCAATGTACAGGAAGTACCTCCCCACTCTGCTTTTTCTGATTTCACAGTAGTCCTCCAGTCTGTCTCCCAGTCATTTTCACACATCTCCATAATGATGTTGGTGGTACAGGACCACTGTTTTATCTACTCAGACAATCACTATCAGACACGTAGTAGTAAACAAAACTAAAGTAAACAAAATCAAACATCAACATTTTTATGTATTTCAAGATTTTTATTATTTGTATTGTAATGGCTGATGGATGGTGAAGACTTTGCAATATAACTGTTGTTGTGAATATTTTCACAACAACAGTTATATTTTCACAACTGTTGTTGTGAAAAAAAAAAACCCCAACAATCAAATGACCCCTATGAGCAGCACATGGCGACAGTGGGAAGGAAAAACTCCCTTTGAACAGGAAGAAACCTCCAGCAGATCCAGGCTCAGGGAGGGGCGGCTATCTGCTGCAACCGGTTGGGGGGGGGGGGGGGTGTTATTTATATTTTACTGCTGTTAATATTTCCACGTCTCTAACATGCGTGGTGCATAAGGTGCAACAACCTCGTGTTGCTTTTTAATAATAGGGGCACGCTGTGTTTTCTGCGGTTTAATAGGAAGAGGAGGTAGGGGTGGAAGTACATTTTTATTTGTGTTTATGTCCCACGTCTCTAACATGCGTGGTGCATAAGGTGCAACAACCTCGTGTTTTTCTGCGTTAATAGGAAGAGGTAGGTAATACATTTTATTTGTTTGTCCCGTCTCTAATATGCGTGGCATAGGGCACAACCTGTGTTGTTTTTATAATGGGCCGCTGTGTTTCTGCGTAATAGGAAGAGGAGGTAGGGGTGGAAGTACATTTTTATTTGTGTTTATGTCCCACGTCTCTAACATGCGTGGTGCATAAGGTGCAACAACCTCGTGTTGCTTTTTAATAATAGGGGCACGCTGTGTTTTCTGCGGTTTAATAGGAAGAGGAGGTAGGGGTGGAAGTACATTTTTATTTGTGTTTATGTCCCACGTCTCTAATATGCGTGGTGCATAAGGTGCAACAACCTCGTGTTGCTTTTTAATAATAGGGGCACGCTGTGTTTTCTGCGGTTTAATAGGAAGAGGAGGCAGGGGTGGGATTAAATTCTTAGCTGGTGAGTCTTTAGCTACAGACACAACCCTATTTGATTTATTAACAAACAGGCATTCCGTTTTAGGTGCTGTTTGTTCTGAGCTGCTCCGTTGCTGACAACGGAAGAAACCAACCCGATCACTACTGCCAGCCTCACCCCACTCCCGACTTACCCTTTGTACGTCCCGCACTCTCTCTGTCGTTGGTCGGATTGTGTGCTCCCAGCCGTTTGGAGTGATGGGAGCGTTGCAAACCTGACGCATTTTTTCTCCTTTTTTGTGGCTTCTTTTTCAGCCCGCAATTCTCAGTTGTGCAAACCTTTGCACGGGAAACGTGATCGTTAGCTCTACCATAACGTGAGACATATTAATAACGGTTGACTTTCAGCAGTATTTAGACTCAGCGATACTTTAGACGGACCAACTTTGGAGTGCACTGGTGTAGAGTGTCGCCAAGGCTCTATTTATGCTATTTGGGAGCTCCTTCGAAGCACCTTTGTTGTGACGTTGCAAAGCCTTTGATGTGACGTTGCAAAGGCCTTTGATCTGTCCGAGCTTAAGCCCCGCCCCCGTTGTCTGTGACGGTTCTCAGGCTGTGGCAGGGTCGCACGCTTGAAGTACGCGCACTACGTACGGTGCGTACTATAAGTACGAGACGTGCGGAAGTGAGAGGCTTGTGAAATGGGACGGTCTAGTCTCCGTCGCGCTTCCCAGGTTGCCTAGCAACCATGATACTAACTGCTGGAAACGTGTCATACAACTTTGTTTGACAGAAATGAAGGAGAACATATTTGTTCATTTGTTTGTTGTTTCTACAAGAGCTTTGTGTGATTTGATAAGTATCTGAGGCTGAGACCACAGGACAGTAAAACATGATTTTTGGGCTTCATTTCTGTACTGAACAGTCATTTAAGATTAGTTAGTAAATAAGAATTAGCTAATGTTGTTCATGAGACTAAAGTCATATCACTTTGGTAATGTAAATATAATATGGCCAATATTATAGTTATTATATTAATCATATTAGCTATTACAGCAGTGAACATGAACTCTGTGTCAAATACTGAGCCTCAGTACAGATTCAAGTTGCAGTTATTATGTCTTATCACCTTAAATCTTCACTCAAAGACAAGTATCTTGACAGTGCATATATAGGTGTATCATATATAGGAGACAAATGTTGTTCCTTCAGTATGTTGGCATTACTAAATTTGGCTCATTGCTTACATACATTTATAAAAAGAAAATGTACAAGCTGTGATAACTGTTTCTGATAAAATGAAGAGTAGACTGATAATTAAATATTCCTTTATTGGGTGAGAAAATCAGACCATGTCATAACTGCTTAAGTCATACAGAATAGATATCAGAGCCTTAAACAGGCTGGCTTCTGCTAAATGGGTCAAACTGGGCAGAAGTACATTTATTTTTAGGTCCATTCTGCTGCTGATACATACAAACCGGATTGCAAAAAAGTTGGGACACTAAACAAATTGTGAATAAAAACTGAATGCAATGATGTGGAGATGGCAAATGTCAATATTTTATTCAGAATAGAACGTAGATGACAGATCAAACGTTTAATCCGAGAAAATGTATCATTTCAAAGGAAAAATATGTTGATTTAAAATTACACGGTGTCAACAAATCCCAAAAAACTTGGACAAGTAGCAATAAGAGGCTGGAAAAAGTAAATTTGAGCATAACGAAGAGCTGGAAGACCAATTAACACTGATTAGGTTAATTGGCAACATGATTGGGTATAAAAAGAGCTTCTCAGAGTGGCAGTGTCTCTCAGAAGCCAAGATGGGTAGAGGATCACCAATTCCCACAATGTTGCGCAGAAAGACAGTGGAGCAATATCAGAAAGGTGTTACCCAGCGAAAAATTGCAAAGACTTTGCAGTTATCATCATCAACTGTGCATAACATCATCTGAAGATTCAGAGAATCTGGAACAATCTCTGTGCGTAAGAGTCAAGGGCGTAAACCCATACTGGATGCTCCGGGCCCTTAAACGACACTGCACCACAAACAGGAATGCTACTGTAAAGGAAATCACAGAATGGGCTCAGGAATACTTCCAGAAACCATTGTCAGTGAACACAATCCACCGTGCCATCCGCCGTTGCCAGCTGAAACTCTACAGTGCAAAGAAGAAGCCATTTCTAAGCAAGATCCACAAGCTCAGGCGTTTTCACTGGGCCAGGGATCATTTCAAATGGAGTGTGGCAAAATGGAAGACTGTTCTGTGGTCAGACGAGTCATGATTCGAAGTTCTTGTGTGGGACGCCATGTCATCTGGACCAAAGAGGACAAGGGCAACCCAAGTTGTTATCAATGCTCAGTTCAGAAGCCTGCATCTCTGATGGTATGGGGTGGCATGAGTGCGTGTGGCATGGGCAGCTTGCATGTCTGGAAAGGCACCATCAATGCAGAAAAATATATTCAGGTTCTAGAACAATATATGCTCCATCCAGACGTCATCTCTTTCAGGGAAGACCCTGTATTTTTCAACAAGATAATGCCAGACCACATTCTGCATCAATCACAACATCATGGCTGCGTAGGAGAAGGATCCGGGTACTGTCTGCAGTCCAGATCTTTCACCTATAGAGAACATTTGGCGCATCATAAAGAAGAAGGTGCGACAAAGAAGGCCCAAGACGATTGAACAGTTAGAGGCCTGTATTAGACAAGAATGGGAGAGCATTCCTATTTCTAAACTTGAGAAACTGGTCTCCTCGGTCCCCAGACGTCTGTTGAGTGTTGTAAGAAGAAGGGGACATGCCACACAGTGGTGAAAATGGCCTTGTCCCAACTTTTTTGGGATTTGTTGACACCATGACATTTTGTATCACCATATTTTTCCCTTAAAATGATCAATTTCTCAGTTTCAACTTTTGTTCTGTGATTTACGTTCTATTCTGAATAAAATATTGACATTTGCCATCTCCACGTCGTTGCATTCAGTTTTTATTCACAATTTGTTTAGTGTCCCAACTTTTTTGGAATCCGGTTTGTACTTTAGGTTTCTGAATATTAAACTTGTTGCTGCCTTTCATAGTGTGTAACTTGAAGGCCCTGAGTACTTTCTCCCACACTGAAAACACTGGAATGATAAAATATTTTGAACATTACCTAATGAGACTGATTCAGGACAGGCAATTAGTTATTTTAAACTTTCCTAGCAGTCCTTCACAAACAGGGAACAGTCTGTCTATTCTCTCCATCTGTCAGCTGCTGCTGGCTCTTCCTCCTCCTCTTCCTCACTGCTGAGTTTGTCCTGGTGGATCATCAGGGGTGCAAAGCCTCACAGGTGATGTGCAGCAGTGGGTCCCTCAGTCTGTCCTCACTCTGGACACTTGCAGTTGTCACACATGGAAATCAAATGTGTGATAAGCTGCAGGATTCAAACACAAGTGTAACTTATAAATACATGTTCATACTTTTATTCCACAATCAGAGAGAAAGAGAGAGAGAGAGTGCAGGACAGACAGACAGGTGACAGTCTCAGGTGTACACACTGCTACAAAACAGCACAAGAGAAGGAGGATTTAGTGTTTGTGTTATTACGAGTGCTAAACAAGAAGAGTTCCCAGTGGACACATGTGTGACTCCTGTGATTAAAACATCTTTCTTTCAGCTTAACGAGTGAACCGTCAGCTCGTTCAAACACACGTTAAAGCCCGTTTGGCTCGACACCACCGAACAGAGGCAGCAATATAACATAGCTAACATTAACAGTGCAGTGGATCCTGCTTGTGCCGTGATATTTGGCAGCATTCACTGACTTTCAGCTTGTTGTGTTTGTGGATATATGACTGACTTTAATTATCCATAAAAGTATCACATTTTCTGTAAGATTAATGTCAAGTATTGAACGGCGTATATTTTAAAGTAAGGCTTTAAAACCCAGTTAGTACTAAAATTGCTAATGGCACTTAACTTTGCCGGTATGTGGCCAACAGTAATGTTTTAACGTTCTTCTTTATTAAACATTTGTGCGTAAATAAGTGACATAATATTCAGTACTTACTTTAAAAAAGTTTACTCTTCGGGTGCCACGCTTCTGCCGTTTTTTTCCGGCAAAATTATCCACACCACCGCCGCGCTATAAAGTCTTGGATATGTTGGGCCATGGAGGATACACCAACCCATCCTTAAAATTCAGGAAAATGAGGGCCGCATTTGGAGCAGCCTTTGAATTGGGACAGCCTTCGTTGCATCGCTGTGACCTAATCGGCCTTAAAATGCGGCCTTTAAGGCTGCAGACCCTGAATACAGTGCACCTTAGCATATACTACTTCCGGTGGGGAAACTCCTGTAGGGCGCTTTGTTTTCCGGTGTGATACTTGCTCTTCAGTACACCACTGAAGACTATGTAAGTAAGGGTAGGGTTTTATTGTTTTTAGCGCTTTAGGCTGGGAGTTGCTCACAGTAAACTAGTGGCACCAAACTTGGCAAGAGGTTTGAATTAGGGGTGGGCGGTATAAATAGATTACTGTTATGCATTTTTGTGGATCACAAGGTTTAAAACTACTAATAAACACACACCCACACACACAAATTAATTTCACCAGAGTGCCAATTTCAGGTCACTTTTGCTGTTCCAAGCCCGGATAAAGGAGCAGGGTTGGAATTGTGACATTAAAAAACAATAATTCCTAAAAGAAATTTAATTTGTAGTTCTAAATAAATTCGAAATGCATTTAGGACATTTTACTCACCTCCTCTTCCACGATGTTATTTCTCTCTCCAACAACGTAGGTTACAGGTCTGTAGACGACGCTATCAACATGGCTCTACACTTCATCCTGCAGCATCTGGACTCCCCAGGAACCTACGCCAGGATCCTGTTTGTGGACTTCAGCTCTGCCTTCAACACCATCCTTCCAGACCATCTCCAAGGCAAGCTTTCCCAGATGAATGTGC